TCGCCTCATGAAAGTGAGAGAATACCAGTGTCATACACTGAAACCGATGCAGTCTATCCGTTCCATCTTCTTCGCACTTATCACTCTTTTGTTACGCTTTCTTCTTCCTCAGCTGGATCCGAAACGTCCTTTCGCCCATATTCTGTGAGTTCTTTTTTGCATTGCTGTTGTCGTAAACACGAGACATTTGTGGCTTTTATGCGTTGGTTTTGTAACTCTTCATTTTCGTTCAGTCAAATTTACTTAAACCAACCCGTGACGCTTGTTTCGCCTGGATTTCCTATCTGTCGTGTGAGCTTGGTAACCTTGATAGTAGTCGTTTGGCAATCTGGACCAAAACGTGTGGCGTCCTGGCATTTGTTGAATCTGTTGCCAAAAAGAAAGACTGGTTGATTTCAGTCAGGGGTCTGTAGAAATACTGTTCTATGGGTTGGGGGACGGTGTTTCGATTAAGATCAATGAGATTTCATTGAATTCATTTAATTTCATTATGTGTGCATTTATGAAGGTTTTTTTGCAGAAGAAATCGCTTCTTTGATACACTGACTTATTTCAATCAGAGAAGTGTAGAAACTTCTAGGACCAAATTAAGCTGTTTTTCCTGGTTAATATCCTAGTTTCAAGTCCATTACTGGATTTTACGATTGATCTGATCAGCGTGTATGTTGATTTCTAATCGAGATTTTGCTAGGATTTTGGTGATTGGCATCTTTTTCCTGTAAAATTGTGTATTATGTAATACTGAAACAATGTAGGGTATAGGTTTTCTTTTACACATGTCTAACTTCAAACTGTGTCAGTCAAATCACGGTACACCAATCTTTCGAAAAAAAGAAAATTTTCATGGTTTGCTGGGCGGGGGATCTTGTCAGGTTTCCTTGGACTAGAGCAGGTGAATTTTCTTGAGGACATCTGGACCGGAGCCTTTGACTAGACCCAGCTTAATCCTCAAGGTAGCGGGATGTTGTATGAAACTTGCAATCCATTATCGGTGTCCGGTTCATCGGGCGGGGTCAAGTGCCCAAGGTGATTAATACACCTCGATGACCATTCAAACCGGTGATTACTGCCAGAACCAGATACGTGTAGCTTTTCTTAGTAGGAATTCTTGGTCAAGTAGTCAGTGGTTCATCGACTCAGTTTTACAGCGTCTAATACTAACTTATCGTCCTCTCACTTTGATGGAAAAACACCCCCGGCACGCGGTGGTGATTAGGGTTTCCTCAGCAGTGAGCACTTTAGACGCTTGGTCTTGTGGGAGTAATTCGTGAAGTGTAAGGGAAGGGTGACCAAACCACCCCGGACCAAACTGACAGTTTCGGATTAGGGCAGAATTAGAAATAGTCAAATGATCGTTTAGTTGTTGGCGAGGTAAACAGCTCACACGGCACCGTCTGTGCTCCGTAAGATCACTCATGATAACTAGCGAAAGTCAGTCGGTCGAACTGACGTACCCGTTTAAATAAGTGCATTATAATCACGAATAAGCGCTCTTGTAAGTAGCAGTATGGTGTAAAATGTAAAGTGTCCAATCGGTCGGCTAGTTTTGTCGCGCTTCAGCACGTTGCTTTTGTTCCTGGAGGTTGGAGAATGAAGAGATTATTCGGGTCCGGTCAACAAAACCAGCAATCAGTTGCTTTTGTTTATAGACCGATTCTCGTAGCAGCATCAGAGTCTACCTCACCTTGAAAACCACGGAACTGTTTTACAGCTGTTCCATTCTTTTCATGCATCGTTCACAGTAAATATATTCATCGCGTTCTCACTGGTTCGCGAACTCCTGTCTGAATAGCGAAAAACAAGCCCAATGCACAATTGATTTCGCCGGTTTGTCTCGGTGTAGTTAATTTGAATATGCCACATGACAAATGAAATAAAGAAAGTTGTACATTCTGGGTTATTCGCGCTCATTACCTGAGGCTGATTTACGCTCGTTTGTAGATTAAATGTCCCATTGCAATGAAATAGGCAACATTTTGGATTGAAATTCGGTACTTGACTTCGTAAATTCTACCAAGGAATAGTGAATCGTTTCATGGTATGTTATGAATTTGGCTTTGACAAGTGGTAAGTGAGTACCTCAAGAGAAATAATAAAATAAGTAACGAAAGTTAGGAGACTTTCATCTTTCCTGAACATTTGACCATAAATTTAACGAGCAATTCTCGAACTACCTAAAAGCATATACTATTTGCTAATACTATCTATCAGTTCCCGTTACTTATCCCTTTTCAAATCGGCAAGGAGTGACACAAATTTGGCGATTGAATTTTATTGGTTTATGGTATTCCGTGACACCAGTGTGTTTTTGTCAACGGTTACAGATGCGGCCAGGCCTATCGAGGTATTGATGAAACAGTATTCGCTATACGAAAACTGGAACAAGGGCTGGAACTGACACGACAAGGAATGGGCTCACAGGACCCTAGACACGATATGATTAGTCTATGTGTTTCGGCTCTGAAAGGTGCGTTTTTTCCTCGTTCTGAGTTTATCGGTTTATCGAAATGTGCCTCAGTATGAAACCCCCATTGATCAGGATGCAAATAATATTGTTCATATGATGCGCTCGTGGTGTAAATAAGGTATAAGCTAAAAAGCCAGGAAGCACTAGAAACTTGTTTCGATTAAGCTTGGTCTCATCAGCAGTGCAAATTCATCGACCTAACTGGAAATCGAACCCGGAACCTCACAGGTACAACTTAAGTATACTACCAACTCGGCCACCGCACTGCTGATCAGACCGTTTTCCACTTTCCATTTACACGATCTAGCACAGCCCTTCTTTGCGAGCTTGCCGCGAGCACTTGTCCTCACTAATCTCAGCATTAGCCTCCTGGGCTGTGTCAGTTGGAAACTTTCACAATCTGACTTGCATTCTACCTGTAAGGTTTCGGTTTCGATCCCCAGTTGGGTCGATGGATTCACACTGCTGATGAAACCCAATCAGTTCGAAACAGCTGTCCGGTACAGCTTTTCAGATCACGCCTCAGTTACACGACGAATTCGTCATGTTAATTAATCAAATCCTGCATTTCTCTCATACGATCTCTATTGTAACAACCATAATAATATTTTCTATCATATGCTTTTCGTATACGGACCTCTTGATTGGCACGCATGGATATGCGGTTGATGTTCGAGCACCAAAGTATTTGAAACTATGCGCTGAATTAAAGTTAAGTTAGTAGTTTTGATGTTCAATAGTGATTTCCACAATCATAATTTACCGCAGTATTTCATTGTTTGGCTGTTTGCTGCCTTTTTTCCTACGGAGCGCACACCATTATGCTTTCTACCTAAAGTATGCCCTCATAACGAGGAAAAGGTTTCCTTGTCCACACCAGTTTGAGGAAGAATATTCGACGGTGGTGGCCCGGAGGTAACGTTACCAAATTATTACCCCGAAGGACGTGCGTTCAAATCCAACCATCACTACCCGACTTCTTCTGTTGTGTGTTGTACGGCAGCCCTTTGATTGATCGCTTCCTCCTTCCTGAAAAATTGTATCATTGGGTATTCAATAAAAGGTAGTAAAAATGAAAAGAGGATCTCGTTCTCTTTGTTCATTGCAACATGATATTCGGTTTTTGAAGATCAACCCACCGCAAGATGTCAACTACCCATCGTGAGTGGTATAGGTCGATTAGGATTCAAAAACGACTGTCAGCATCCAACGCACAGTGATGAACATCATCATTGCTCATCAGATTTTCCCAAAAGATGTCGGTGATCGAATGCGGAAAGTGGATTATCATCCTTGGCGCGGAGGCTACAGATCTTGCAGGCATAAAGCAAATTCATGCGGGATTAGACGTCGCGTAGTCTTTTATTAGAGAGAATTAGGATTTCTTGGTGGCCCCGTGGGTGTTGCAACTTGGTTAACGGTGCTGTAACTTTCGCTATTGTCCCCAGCATGACCTCCAGCTATTATCAGGCTCACGATGATACTTGTGCACCTCTCTGACCCAACGAGCTACACAGGATGGCTTTTTTCAAGCCGAAGGTTTAATCATGCCTGGAAGGTCGAAGGGTAGAGGTCAGACGAAGTCCATTTTCCTGCTCCTCCAGGTTGGGGGTTCGACTAGAATTTGTGTTTCAGTCGGTAAAAGATTGTGGAAGAGTAATTAATCCAAGTGAATAGGCCTCCACTTCGCTTTACCCGCTGCCTTGCGGCTAGGTTCTTGTCAGAACTGAAGGCTTTGGTTGAGAACCCTAATCGTTCTCCTGCTTAGTGGCTGGACGCCCTAACAGTACCTGTCCATCAAACCCCAGTGCGTATGCATTGTGAGTTTGGCAGCGATCAGTGAAGTTCGCTTCTCTGTATTTCGCTGTACGATAATAATAATAATCGTGTAAACACTCTAGTCGTCTCGCCTATCATCATCGCCTGTACCTCACTATTTGGAGGAAAATCACCAACCATGGCATACAGCCTCATGCTCATTTAGTCTACCGTACGATATTGTTGCTTGATTTATTTGTTCTGTGTACCTAACTGGGGGCTCAAGTACTCGTTGTGATCCATGAAACTGGTTGTAATTTTCCCTAGGGACATTATTTCCCGAATTTATCCATCGGTTCGCACCATCGCTTAGAAGTAACGGACGAAGAGAGAGCAGAAATTCTACCAAGTAAGGGGAATGCGGAAGGCTCTTACGTGTAACTATGCTTGCTGATTGTGTCGGTCCCCACGGAAATTCACCATAGCAAACGCCACGTAACCATCCTGTTGAACTACTCGGTGAGAGCCCGTGAAACGGATTGTAACTATCCCGAAGGACAAAACCACCCCGCTTCCTACAACGGATACCTCTCCGCAAAGAGAAAATAGAGCAATAATTGAACTGTAAGACCTGTAGTAGCTACTAGCTACACTACAGATGTGACGAAAATATCCAGAAGGACATGACCATCAAACGCTGCAGTGGGCTAGTGGAAATAATGGATAGGAGGTAGTAATATAGAGTACAAAAAGATCCATCGCCAGCCAAGACACGAGCACCGATATCCGTCACCCGAACTAGACCAAATTTCAACTTCTTCCTAAGGTCGCCCACCACTAATGTTTCCAGATCCAGTTCCAAACCCAAACTTTCACACCAGCCGCATTTTCCCTGGGCTATGTGACTGCAAATAGGTCCAGTCCGCCGCGAATCATCATTCAAATACAAAGACTGTTCGCCAGCTGTTTATCCCCCTAGCAGGGCACTTTTTACTCTAATATACCAAATTGTAACGCAAGGTTTCCTGTTGTGCGAGGGAGGGGGTGTCTCTCACCTTCTAGCATTTGGCTTTACCCCCAAAGTTGTGTTAACAGGCTTGCGCACGTGCAGCGAAGGCGCACACAAGCTAAGTTAATTATATTAAGAAAGAACTCAAAACATGCTTCCCTAACTGCCACTTGCCGGTCATGCATCAAGTGGTCACCAGGAGTACTCTCACAGATTATCCTTGTTTGATTCAATTTCTTCAGTATGACATTCAGAGGACTGGGTCAAAATCACACTATCGAAACCAGTCAGTGAATATCACAGTACATTGTCTTGATTAAACAGTTAGATTCCTTTGCTTCGTATCCATTCTGAGTTAACCGTTGAACGCCAAACGAAGGAGGCACGGTCGCATTGCGCGCACATTGCCCGCCAAGCAACAGTTGCCCACGCCAGACCCTGTTGGAGTCCAGTAACTCCGTAAACCTCACCCTTTTAAGAAAGACAAGGAAACAGAGCGCAGCCCCCAACTGAGCGAATATGTATCTGACTCCAGGAGGTTTGACTCGAACATCAGAACCAATCCTGATCCGATTTGCCAATTTTCCTTACCTACACCATTCTAATGCCAGAGACCGTTCACCTTGAAGACATTATACAAATATGGTTACGGCATACCAGCAAAATCATATGGCTCCGCTCAGAATGTCAAGAGTCCATAAGACTGTTTCAGATAACTCAAGAAGGGTGGTGCCTTATGGGAGCTAGACACCAATCTCCGAACTCCCGGTCTACAGTTGACGGTATACTCCCAACAAAGAGGAGATCTCTTCGGAGAACCGTCGCTGACATCTTCAAGGTCAGATGCGTTACCGCGCCAGGTGCAAACTGACCGAAACCAAAATCCACTAATCCCCGTGAGAAGTTTCGGAAATATTTATCAACCCGACTCCCGCTACGGAGGGTTACTGTTCTACATTAAAATGGTAGCAGTCCTTACAATGTTGGGTATCCTGTATCTTTACTGATTCTCTTAATCACTGAGGATTGCTGTTCCCATGGAACTCTTCTCCTCGACTTTCGAGGTTCTCATCTGAAGAATTGCTACTGCCATCTGGATCTGCACCAAACTCAGCTTACGGTGACGATCGGGTTGGGGTTCGATGCTACAGCACCATCCATTTTCTGGTCTGTTTTATTCTATGGGTGATTTCTTGCACTCCTTTGCGGATTCCGGACCAACCAACACCTTTTGTAGCATGTCATGAGCGTCGCGTTATGTTCGGTTAATCCCCGCAACCCCAGTTCTACTTACCAAAAATAGCCTATTTGGTACTTACCCTCAAGGACCGGCTCCGTTTATGGAAGTCAAGCTTCACGTTCATCTAAAGTTTGAGAATAGGTTGAGGACGTTTTTCCCCCATTACCTCGACACATTCACTCGACCGGATAAAACTGTATTTCCCAGAATGTCAGCTAACCTGATAGATAGTTCAGAGATAACCAGCTATTGAATGGTTCTATCACTCATTCGTCCCCATACAGTTAACGAAACATCAGATTTTCTTCCGGTTTCAACATGTGCATACAGAGTTAANTATCTTCCGGCCTTCAGTATAATCAAGCATGAGTCCGCTACTACATCTTGGAACAAGCCGGCAATGCGCCCGCCGCTCGATGCGTGGTAGTCCCAGGCACGAGAAGCGATAGGATTTCACCTCAGTCCTTCACTTCGTCTTAGAGTTTCCTCAGGCGAATAGATTGGAGTCAACACGGAACCCCATCCGTTCTCTTAATCGAAAGTCCCCGGATTTTCGGGCACTCAACATATTCAATCAATTTTCATGATTTTCCCTCGCTGAAGCAGAAGAAGAATGGGCTGTCCTTCACCCGCGGAGTTTAATTACGGTCTGATTGAACCCCAGTATTCACTCACTTCTGATGTCCCAAAACTTAGTAGTCATTTAAGTCCTAATGAATTCACAAAGGCCCTAGATTGTCGGTTTTCATTTACTTAGTTGATCAGTCACCGCACACTCACATCCTCCAACTTTTATATTGTTTACCTTTTTATTCACTGTGCAGGCAAACCGTCCTCAATCTAACGTGTTTTGGTGTACTCGGCTCGAAAATGCATCATTTCTTTTCCAGAACTGGCGGAAATACACCTCTTTTTGGCTCACAGCAATCTTCTCCGAGGCCTATCTGCTCAAGCCCTAAGTCAGTGGTGTTCCGCATTGCAATACCTCGCCGAGTAAGCTCGTCAATTATCTGTTTCTACTTTTATGCGTCCCTGTCTGTCTTTTCAACAAAAGGAATGATATATGCGCGGTTCTTGTTTCGCAACCATTTAAAAGTTACAGTGTGTTATTGATTTTTTTCTACCGATCATCAGATAAATCCTTTCGTAATGAGTCTTGTTGTGAATCATCAATCGCTTTTTCATCTCAGCTTGTGTTCGTACCAGATAAAATACTAGGCTCAGCTTCGGGCTATATAGTGTGACAGCTTTGGGATGTCTCGTCGTTGTCAACATGGCGACAAACTGATCAACTGCTGTGGTTTTAGCCTGATGTACATAAACAATACGTGGTTCTTGCATCTTTTCACATGATTCTCCAATGACGGCGGGTTAAATCGACTCCATGCTAATCCAATCACGCTGGATTTCATCAGAACAGCACTGATGGAACTGGGCAGGTCACTGATTAAAGGTCAACGCAAACCGTATTCAATCTGAGTCTGACGAGCCACTTACTGGGTTTGAGCGATGAAGTTCTGCTTCATGCATCACGTCACTAAGGTCATGGCCGATATCGGCGGCACTGATGTCGTTCAAGATATGTATCGATCGGGTTCAGTATGTAACAGCGAAAACGGACGAACGAATGGGTGCCACAGCACTACGGTACTCATTTCTCATCAGAAAAGCATGTTGCAAAGCGAACAATGGGAGAATAGAAATAAAATCAATGTACTACGTCAACCCAGTAACAGATATTTCACTTGTTTTCGAATACGTGGTTCCTCTTGAACGCGGTTTTACCCATGAATTAAGCATTAGATCACGTATGTACGAATTAGTTTGAATGGCTCATTGTGCTTCATTTTTATGACGTTATTATAGCCAAAATCGTTTTTAGATCACAGTGGACGCTATGTACTCAATAATGTGGTCACAGTTACATTGCAGTTGAGCGGGACATTATTTAAAATTGAACTTGTGCTAGAACAACTTCCCTAGCGAAAGATAAGTAGTCTTTGGATTAATAAATATTGGAAACTGAAAAATAGCTAACTGCCGAGAACACTTCTAATATAGAGTTGTGGTCATCATAAAAGATTCGTATTTCTCCAGTACACAAAGAAAAATGAGGCTTTACATCTAAATTCTGCTCTAATTAAACAACAGGTAATAATAAATGATGCTAACAAATAACGAAAGTAACGTAGTTTTTATCGATCCTGCATTTTTGTCACAAATATTCCAAGCAATCTTTCCTGGTACTTGAAAGCATATACTACCAACTAAGATGCTTTCTCACAGGTTCTGGAGTTTATGCACGTTGTCTACTTCTCGACGGGTGCAAAATAACGGGATTGACTTTACTTATCAATATCATTCGTTCGGTAATCTGACGTTCTATATTTGCACCATTTCAGAGTGTTTGACTACTCCCGCCCAGGAAGATTTATTCCAGTTTGGGCATTTCACTTTGCTGGATCCGCTTTCGGTTTGCTGCATGTCATTCATGACCCGGATTTGCGGTAAGATTGGGTTCTTGCTAACATTTTATTCTTTCACATCGAAAATGGTTGTCATTCTGTTGCGTCTTACCCATTCTTTTGTCTGTCAAGTTGTTTCAATTTTCACTATCAATAACTCTGTTCTTTTCACAATCGATCTGGTCAACATCCATGAGGATAACTGAACGGTTAAATGGTGACTTCCGTGCGATCACTAATATCGCCCAAAGTGAACTGAACCTCGCTAACCTCGTGTTGGTGTTGTGTCATATGTCATTTTTGTTTGGGAGAACGGTCGAGTTTTATTCACGGAATGTGATCGCTACAAACCCTGTTTTGTTTTCGTCGTTCCCATCGATTTAATGTCCACATATGGTGATTTTATTCATTCCCTTCGTTTTCAATCAATCTGTCTATAATTATATGGTGAATTCGTTGTGTAAATGAGGCGCGAGCGGAAAAGCTGCGAAGCACTGAATAGCTGTTTTGGCTTGGTTTGGTCTCATCACTAATGCGAATCCATCAACCCAACCCTGCTGGCGCCTCATTTACACGACGAATTGATCATGTAATCAAATTTAATCCTCCATTCATCTCAGAATAATCAGTCAGGTTGTTGAAGTTTCCAACCGAGTCGTAACTTTGGAGACCAGTGTTGAAATGAGCGAGGGGCAATGCCTGCAACAGGCTTGCAAAGATGGTTTGTGCTACCTCGTGTATATTCAGAACGAGAAACAGTCTGATCAGCTTCCCCGTGACAGAATGGGTAGTATGCTTACTTGTACCTGTGAGGTCCCGGGTTCGATCCCCAATTGAATCAATAGATTCACACAGCTGATGAGACTCAACCTGGTTGAAACCGCTTTCTAATGTTTCTCAACCGTTCAGTTCACGCCTCATTTACACGACGAATTCATCATCTAATCAAATCAAATCCTCCATTCCTCTCATATAGCTGTAATTCTGAATCTGATTTTTTTTCAGCGTTCCAGTTCCACATCGTCTCGTCAGTGTTGTAGAGAATCGGGACGCTCCGGATCAAGACAACAACGTTCTCGTGTGTCCGTGTGTGTGTCTCCGTCTGGCCGATATGTGAGTTGTCCAGATCGTCCGTTTGTTTCTGTCCTTCGTTCAGTATGAATGCATTTCTTGTACTTATCCGTTGCAAACTGCTATCCTACAGGGATATATCCACCGACGTTTTTTGATTTATTTTGATCAAGGTCGTACCAAGAATGCAGTTTTGTTTGAGATTTGTTCTTCAAGGACTGTAAAACAATAAATAATGTAAATTTATCCTCGGTCATCAAGCACGTTAGATCCACATTGTCATTTTTAAGCGATCTGTTGAATTTGAATCGTCTTGCCAGTGGGTACTTTTACATCTCTTATTTTCTCTGATCCAAACAATGTAGCTTATTTGATTTTAAATAAAAATGGTATTTTACTTGCTTTAGTTAATTTTCAAAACTAGTCTGTGGCGGATCGAAGGCTTCATGGAGAAGATGGTAGCTGGTATTAGGGCTCTCCATCTAGTCCACTAGAAACAGAACAAGTTATACCGTTCATCCTTCATGAGCATGTTTCAAATAATAACGGTGTTCCATTTTTGCTGAACTATGAGAAAATTTGGTGCCGCTGTTGTACTTTGCTTGTGTAGTTTCAACAACCACTGAAAAAATTCTTCACCACTTTTGAAAACGCCCCGGTCAAAGTTCAAGAATCGTAACTCGATTTCTTCTACTTCGATCCGAAGTGGAGATACTGCGGAAAATAAAAGGTACTGAACTTTTGTCACAGTATGCACGCAGTATGGTCGCTGCGAATCTCCTTTTTAGAATTGTCATGTAATCATCTGTTTTGTCCTAATTACTCAGTGTTGCTTTTTTCCTGGGTAGAAGGGGGGGAGGGGGTCAGCAAATCTATTCTCATCTGAGGGTCCACGCGGCCATGTAGTTTATATTGCATTTGTTTTCCGTCCAATCTGATGTGAATACCCGTCACAGTGACTTTGTTTATACGTATTTCAGCAAATCAGATATGTCATGTACTCTCTTCGCCGTCATTCATTTACAGCTACTCTGCTTGTGCACTAAAACAGTGGAGCAAACTGGAGCGCCTGCAGCACACAGACGTCATCCCGAGTGCTAATGATAGCCCCGTACTTCAACGATGCACTCTACTGGTAGCCAACGGCCTACAGTGCTTGTCCCATGCCCGGTACCTGAAAGAAGGTCATTCCAAAGCATGCGGTTGTACCCTGAAAGATGATGATACCAAGATGAACGAGCTGTTTGATTTGGCCGAATCTTTTTTCAAACGGGCTTGTCGTGAACTGACCGAGTCAGCAGAGTTGGATCAGCAATTTTTGGACGGTTGTGAAGATCAGGAGGATGTGGCCGCAGTGAGTAAAATCAATCAATTTGAATCCAGTGCGGACAAGGTTGTCAGATGTCGATTGTCGGCCAATCGTGCCCTTCAATCCAAGGCGTGGTACGGTCTGGCCGAGCTAATTTCACTTCGTCGATGTGAGTCGTGCATCGTTTCAATTGTGTCCATTCTTTCTACTCTTCCCGATTCGGTTTAGCGTGATCGCACATAATCCGTGTGAAATCTCCGTGTCTCTGCCACTACTCGCATGCGATTCCGATGTCGCTTTTAGATGTTTGCATAGTACCATTCGGATTCCACATACTCATGCTCTTCAGTTTTAGTAATGTTATCTGCAAGTAGTGTTGTGTAACCGTACCTTCGGTATATTCAGTGATTACTGGACGAGATTTGCTAGACAGTGATCACAAAAACGAAGCAAATCCCTTATTCCGGAGGAATAAACGTTCAACCTAGAACCACCACTGTATTTTTCTTCATGTTTACTTCCTTTTGTTGATACGCAATAATGCAATTTTCAAGACGGAGGAAGCGGCCAATCATAGGGCTGTCAGACCTCACACATATAGGGAAAGTCTGGCGGTGGTGGTGGACGTGGAACACACGTTCTTCGGGGTGATAATTTGATAGCGTTGTCACCGAGCCACCATCGCCCGGAAAATGTTATCAGATGGAAGTTATGTAGTATGTGGAAGTCCGTGCCACAGTCTTGCCATTTCCCCATAATGGTTCCCGAGGTCAGAAAACCGGGAATGTGTAACTGCCTCCGAATTGAAATTCCGTAATGTAACGGAAACAGGAAATTGTTTTGCATTTACAAGCCCCGACAGAAATCAGGACGTGGTACAACGAAAAGAGCGTCCATCTAAAGAGGATTTTGTTGAAAGACGTGAATATGGTTTGGTAATATGGTTACATTTACGGTCCAAGAATAGGGAACACAGTAGACTCAAGTACATCCGCATCGTTTTCTTTATGTTATAACACGCATACGATCGCAACAGTTTATTTTCTCCCAGTCCTGCAACATCATCTTTTAAAAATATTTTTTGCACATATGTTGATCTCCAGGTGTTCCGATGCATTTTTTTGATCTAACTGGCTTATAGTGGCATAGCTAAAGGAATCTAAAAGATTGCGAGTCACGGCTGAAAATAATTGCGGAGTTCGATGTATACTTGATGATAAAGCCTGTCGCATTTTTCTCAATTGATCGTTTTTTCGTTCCTTGATTCAACTGTGGCTTATCTCTCTCTATCTTTGAATTCAAGTAAACCAATTCAATCAATTCTATTTCCATCCTGTTTCAATTCGCCTATGTGGGATAATTTCTTTCGTCGTTTTCACTCTTCTCTTCATAGCTAATCACGATCTAGTTGCGGATTACTGTTTGTGCCAAGCTCTGATGGCAAAACCTCAGGTTGGTTCAGTTATTTTACTCTCTCTTTCGTGAACTTCTACCCGTGATCTGTATGACTATATCCCATTTTGAGTGTTAATCTGGCCTCATCCGCGTTCGCGAGATGGCAAAACATTTCAGAACACAATTCCTTTGCAGTCCTACCAAACACTAATCGACTGTGTAGTGATCATTGGCAAATCATGGACTGTTTTTTCTTTTTCATAAAGATTATTGTACCGTGATTTGTTTGGCACGCAGTCTGGATTCAGACGCGTGTGAAATCCGAACATTAGCACAGATACAATGCAGCAAACTCGTCAAACCTAAAACAGGCGATCACTGCGCAACTCCAGTTTGACTTGGAAAAGGCATTCCGTATATATATATATCACACATGCATGAGTTCTGTATTGTCTAACCGTTCGATAGTGCCACTGTGCGCCATTTTATCGATGTTTCCTGTTTTCTGTAACCTCAGGTTTTCCTTGCTTTGCATGTCAATTCTCCTGAAGTTGCTTTCTCATTTAAAATGACCGTTGTCAAGAATTCTAAATTGATTTGCTTTTCTATTTCGCCTGTTCGCCGAGCTTAACAATTTGTTTGCAAACGTTTCATCACCAGCCGAGGTGACATCATCAGTGCTTGTGAAGTGCTTTTGCTTACTGGTTTTCAGGTTTCCAAGGATAATTACTGTATACTCATATCCTGTGCGTAGTAGTAATCGTGAAGCCAGTTTTGATCCTTCTGTGTAGTCAGATCCATTTATTCGGATACTAATCAAGAATGAATGTGTGCACAACTGAAGTCCACTGAACAGTTGATCACAAGTTTCCTTTGCTCCAATTTTTAAGAGATTTTGATCATTAGTGGAATTCGAACGCGCATCTCTGTAAAGTGTGCAGTTCGTCAGGTGCACTAATTAGTGATGAGAAGAAATTGGTCGTGCATGAACTTATTATCATCATCATGGTACTCAGTTTGGGTGCTTTAGTTGTAAATTACTTGAACAGTTCATTGATAGCATTTGAGACAACCTCGGAATTTTTCAATGAGCAAAATGATTATTCATATGTTTGCTTGCCACTCGCTCCTTCGAAAAATTTCCGTGTACATCGATAAACTCGAAATATTATGTTTTCCAGATGAGACAATCCATAGTCTCACAGCTTCTATCTTCTAAATTTATTGACTTTAATCATGTCATGTGAAGATGTGAAGACCTTCTGAGTGTCTGTATTCCTGTTTCACTTTCCACGTGTGTAGCAGCTCCTTATCTCTCTCAAGTTACGCGGATGTAAGGCAGATTATTCGTTCACTGTACTCTGTGGTTCGCATGTAGCAAACTGAGCCACTGTAAGTCAGTGTGTTGCATCACCACAAAACCTCTCGTCGTTGTGTCTGCATCTGGTTGTTTCCATGTGATTTGTGGAATTGTGTTTACTAACGATGAACTAACTCATTCCGGTGCTTAGTCGAGCAGTTTCAGCAAACCGTGCACATCCTTCACTATCTTCCAGCCCCCCCCCCATGTGCCATCTATAGGAATTGGTAGTTTTAGCCCGTGATAAGTTTGTATGCATCATTGGTCATTTCCGCTTGTCGTTCCTGTTTCAGAATGCCGAAGCGGGTACAAGCTTGGCGCTGCGACTGTTGAATCAGGGTCGAGCAAAGGTAAGCAGCGGTACATGTGTAAAATGATTCGGGCTTACAGCATTCGTTTGTCTCATTGTACAGCTCACTAGGCTGCAGCACTGGATCATGTACATTGTTCTCCAAAAGTTTGCCTTCCCAACCCACNCAACCCACCTTTTGGTGAAGTTACCCGTCCAGTCATGCCTTCTATCAACCCTCTGGTATTCTCTTGTGGTTTATGGTTCCGTTCCTCGATCAGGACAGTCTTCCACAGCCTTAGAAATTGGTATTTCCACCTCTGCTCCAATTTACTCCCTATTTAATCGCACAAATATTCCGTAGGATTAAGATCGGATGATTGAGATGGTCACAGGCGCGTACATGTATCACAATGTGCATGAAAACTCCCTTACGTCTGGGGTGCTATTGCATGCTTGTTACCATCTTGTTGGATTCAACTCAGGCAAGTTTATTCACATCTGAATTTCGGAGTAGTAAACTTAAACATCGGCGGTCTCCTCAAAAAGTGTCAGCTCGCCCCGACATTCTCACCAGATGGCTACTCAACTTTGCGTAATTCAATCATTTGCCTTAAATCTGCCTAACAATATATTGACTAATCTATTTCAGTTGCGTTTTCCAGCGACTGCTTCGGTTGAATTCATTTTTTTATACTCAGTCATCGATCTGTATTGGGTTCACACGGTTCCCTTGTGTGTAAAAATAGTTATCATCGAATGAGTTTCTGTTCACTATGCTCTGATTGATTCAATTGGCTATCCCTTCATTAAAGCATAACGATCCACCTGTTGCGATCCCCATTTATAGGTGGCATCCACAATGATTACCCAGTTTCAAGCTCTGGATCCAGGGAACTATCTCGTTTGGCTGGCTTCAGCGCATCTGAACGCGGTGATTTCGGCCGGTGGCGGGAACAAGTCATGCCTTGGAAACGATAGAAATCAATCGGTGTTGCGCGATCTTCTACAAACCGCCTGTCTAGGAACCAGTGTAGGTCCGGACCTTGTGAACTATCACTTGTCACTTCCAGTTTGGTTTACTATGTTTTAAAAGTGCAACGTAGTGTTTAATTTTCCGAACTGCTCATCGTCTTTACTACCTTTCCGTGCACTTTAGAATAGAGGATGTTTACGCGATCTTTGAAAAGTATCATGTTTGGTTGAGTTCATTTTGTTTTTTACGGTCGCCAGGCACCGTTAATCTTCTCAGGTGTGTAATTTACTCTGCGAGTTCGTCCATTCCCCACCAGTAAAATGCGTGAGAAATATCTGTGGTGACGAACAAAGACTTCTAGACAGCTGCTTCCTCTTTTTGGGCACTCGTGAGTAATACGTACAGGTTTGGATCGAATTCGTGCGACACAACGACTTTCCCAAATCTCCTTATAATAATGCCTAATGTTTTGAAATCCATACTCGGGAATGTGTATGGTTTGGCCCCCAACACATACAACAATTCTATGATAGCATCCAATTGCATAGTTGTTTCTTTGATTCAACCGCATTATAAACGTACTATCTCGATGACGATGGGTGGCGCACCGGTTGTAAGATAAGCAAACCTCAGTAGAGTTAAATCACCGAAATTTGTTTATGAAAATAACTGACATGCATAACACACGTTTTGTAATTTCATTTTCTAAATGCTCTGTTTACCCTGACTCATTCTTTTTCAGCACTTGGGCCAATAATGTTAGCATTGATTCTATGTTCTCGGCAATGAAATCACATTTAACAATTTCCTCCAGTACATGTCACTCTGAACTCCAACGTTTTCTGTCATTGAAGCTCGCTCACTTCACTCTTAAACATTGCGGAAAAGTCTTCACCTACGTTCAGGTCCAGGCTGTTAGGTAGTGGCTCAATGAATTCACTTGTGGAGCTCGCCCCCCCCCCCCTTAAACTATCAGGACGAGAGGTTTTACGTGAGTATTTGGTAGCTAAACCATTTTTCAGTTTATTCGGGATAAAAAATCGTTTTTCGGTATGTTTAATTTCTACCGTATTAGAAGGAACATATCTTAATTAAAAAGATTTAGATTGGTCAGATTAAACATTTTCATGAAACAATCATCATTTTTCTGAAAGATTGAACTTCTATGTTGCTCTGCATCAAATATATTCCAATTTTTAGTTGTTACTTCCGAAGCACTACAAAATTTATCGTGGCAATCGAGGGTGCACCAATTGAAATAGTGGCACGAGAGAATTTAGACCATTCAATCGGGTTAGAAATAAACGCTCTTTGCTCATGACTGTCGATATGCATGATATTGGAAACTAAAGTATGTTTTTAAATCGGGGATCGTGTAGCACAGGATTGATCAACACCCGTACTTTTTATATCTCTGTCGGGGGGTGGGTACTGAAGACGAGTCCCAAAGTGGGAGTAACAGCTGTCCAGGGTTTTATGTCGGCTCTCAAGGTTCTCTATCGGACATGCTGCATGCTGCTGTTAAATAAGAGAAAAGTGATTCATATAAACCAAAAGTTACTGCCAAAATCTCACAACTCCCTAAATTCCTGGTTTCCGCGTTATTTGTTTGCGAATTTTATAATGTATTTTGGGATTTTCCGGTTGCATTTAAATTAATGTTCTACCGGCTTCGCCCGAGTTTCACATTCCTTCATTGTGACCGAATTTTCTCGCAACTACTCGTGAGTAGCATAATTTTATTTGACCTTGAAGTTATGACTGATCGTTCCTGTCGCTGTCAGTGAACACAATTGAAATGCTGATTTTGACAGCCACCGTGATGACATTTGGTTTTCAGGTTCAAGTCGCATCTTATCTTGTGCAACAGTTATTTCCGCTACTTTATGAAGCACTTCATGGTCTGGAAAAAGCAAAGGGACTCAGCTCGAATACAAGATCCTTTCTCCGACTCGCTATCGAAGTCTCTTGTGAAGGTCAAAATCGTGCACTAGGTCAGTTCCTACCTCGAGTTCTTCTTTGTCTGTTCAATCACATATGTTTATTTAGAATGGTCAGTATTGTCTCTACTGTGATTGGTCCAGCAGCAGTCACTTGATAACGTGTTGCTCCTATTGCAAGTTTCTTTACCATCTGAGTCCGTTCGTGGCATGCTTCTATTCTTCTCTCGGTCGCGAAATATCAGTGGTGATTGAATATGTGGCGACATACCGATTGGTGAGCAAATTCGTCGCAGCCATAAGCCATCGTTTTGCCTAAGCGTCTACTGGTCAGCTACTTAGTGAGGCCATCGTCATCGCTGTGTAATTCTGCACTTGAGAACGTAAAACTTTAAAGCACAGCTCGAAAAAGACCAGTAGATTCCATGAATTTTGGAGTGCGTTTACCGCCATCCCACCTTGATGGTAGACAGTCTCATCATCATCCATTGTTACACCTACGGTTGAAAGTCAATTGCACAAGTGTGCTGTCTTCAATTATTGTACCAACGTTGATATGCACAGTGTAACCATCCATCAATTCGAGGACACAGAAGCAGTCATCTTTTAAAGGGTACAAATCGGAATTTCAGTTTTGTGTGTCAGGTTAAACCCAGTTCTGTTAGACAGAACGGGTATGCATACAATCTGTTCCCGTTTCATATGTGCGCCTGTGCATCTTTACACTGAGTAAAACCCTAATTGTAGTATAGAGGCAGTCATATGTTTGTATCCCAGAGACCATAGCCGCACTGTACCCTGCAGCGGTCTATTCGTAGATGTTGTATTTTCCAGTCCATAAACCCAGTTGAATAACGAGCGATCTCCGTCGGAGCTGGAAGCCGTACATATTGTCCACCGATTACGTAGGGTGGTTGCGATCCAGCCGCAAAATCCGAAATACTTTCCATCTTCCGTTGCACACTCAATTTTCAAGACTTCTCTAGGACACCCCGCTTTTGGAATCCCCCTGGAAGTGGGGAAGTCTGGTCACAAAAATGATGCAGTTTGAACATACAATGCGCTTCTATTGTCTATTGGGTTATTGCAAACCCTTTATGGTATATATAAATATGTACTTCTTCGTTAGAATTCTTCAACTGTATGCGAAATAAGCATGTTTATTCTTGTGTTTTGCTAACATTCATGATGTTATGCCTAGTCACCTCGGATGAAGCATGCCTTCGTAATGCGTGAGCCTTTTTTGGCTTTGTGTTGCAAAATTTGCTGTAATAACCAATGAAGAGATGATCTTCATCGCCACGAGTTTCTACTCTTCAGTTAAGAAAACCGGTAACCTAAACTCTGAAACTATGAATGATGTAGTACGTGAAAGCACCATTGGGTGAGCCGTGGTGTTCACTTAGTTTCAATTTCCTTCATCAGCGTCGCATATCCAATGTCAATCCGGTTTTCTGTTTTTTAGCCTTTGAACCGAAAAACTCCTCCCTTTGGCACAACCGCGGAATCTTGTTACAATTGGCTGGTCTGTCCCATGCTGCGGTATTTTGTCTTCAACGGTACGTTTCTCACATCCGGTAGAGTTTTTTCCTTCGTGGTGTGCAATGCACTTTGTCACTCAACCGAACAGGTGACCATGCAATAATCCTGTCGTTCCGGAAGCAGTTCATACGCCTAATCGTGGATAGTTCGGATATAGAACTCGCCAACTGGACTGCTTCTGTCTGATCATCTTGGTTATAGAAGTGAAGATAGCTCTAGTAACTTCCCCACGAGAACCCCGTGCTATTGTAGAACTTCATTGGGAGTATGATGGTGAGATACGTTCATCGAAACACGCACTTCCTATCCTATTCGGACGTTTCAGTGCTCCCGAAAGGTTCTTCTCTCTCCGTTCCTATTTAACTTTGTCATAGATTCAATTCTTGAAACAGCGCTGTCCTGTGAAAATAGCGGAATCGACTTCCTCCCAGGAGGCAGACTGCCTGATCTTGAGTATGCAGACAACATTGTGCTACTAATTGAAGATCCAGGTAAGTTGCAAGCTTTTCTGGATAGTTTAAGGGCTAGTGTATTCATGTTTGGTATGCGTTTTGCATCTTCAAAGTGAAAAATGGTACTACAAGATTGGGTTGGTCCTGCACCCAGTCTCACTCTGACTGGGGAAGTAGTAGAAGAAGTAGACAAATTTTTCTATCGGGGCAATTATATCTCACCTGGCGGACGCATCACAGATGAAGTGTCGGTACGCTTACAAAAGGCTCGGCTGGCATTTACCAAATTGAGACATTTGCGTCGCTGTCGTGACATCCGGCTGTCTGTAAAGGGTCGAGTATATGCTGCAGCAGTTCGGCCAGTGCTGATTTGCGGTGCAGAGACTTGGCCATTACAGGAACAGGATAAGAATAGATTGTCGGTGTTTGAACACCGCTGTCTACGTCACATTGCACGAATCTGGTGGTGCAGCCGAACGAGCACTGCTGAGGTTAGGCGTAAAGTTTTATGCAGTCGTGGTCGTCCACTGGAGTAAGTGGTCGACCTCCATAGATTACGTTGTTTGGGACATGTGTTACGCATGTCGCCAGATAGGTAGCCACGGCGTGTGATTTTTGCCGAGGCAGGCAGTTGTTGGAAGAAGGTCAGGGGTGGTCAAACTAAGACCTGGCATGAGGGTATGAAAACCCTAACCAGGACCGTGGGTCCCGTTAAGCTCCCTGGCTGGGGACTTTGGGATGATGGTCACCGATGGTTAGATACACTGAGTGATATGGCTGGATCTCGTAAACAGTGGTGCTCGTGCATCCACTCATTATTCCCCTAACGCCATTTTATATGAATTCTCCATCTTCCACTTGGATTTGCTTTCAACATTCCGATCTTCATTCTGCTCTTTTATCCAAATGGGGCACCGAAGGACGGCGATCAAAACCGACTCATGAAAGTGCATGGTTAATGGTTGTAAAACTGAACTCTGTGTGCATTTCTATCGCGCAATTTCTTATTTAGCTCTGAACCTGCAAAATTTGATTGTTTAGTTTGAGAGATTGCTTCCCATTTTTGTATATTTGATGCCTACCTCTCCTCTGCTCTACCTCCCCTATTTTGTTTGTTGAAATTGACGAACTGGATTATTCATTGTTCGGTACCGGGATCTTATATGCTGTTCATACCGCCACACTGTTCCGTCTCCCACCGCTTGATGATAACGCCCTGCTGGCACATGCAAAGGCTAGTTGAAATAAACCATATGAAACCCGTTCGTGACATACTAGGTTGAAGACGAAGTGAATCAGTCTCTTGACCTTACACTTGACAGTACATTTTACAAAGCAGGTGACAAATGCCAATGTTCCAGCTTCCCTGATTGCAAACCACATGATGGCAACAAACCAGTTTAATCTGACCTCAAGTTCAGCTTTTTTCACGTCGTTTTAGCCAAGCTCACAGCCCAATGCCTTATGCACGAACACAGTTGACCCGAGATAGCAACTTAATGCTGATCTGACTACGTTGTTTATTGTGTAAGAATCACTATTTTGTACATTAGCAACTGTGAAGAGCAAAAAAAATTCTTGCTTCTCACAGCAACCGTCCTATGTGTTTACGAATTGGATAAAGGGAGTACCTCACAGCAGGCCTTATTCCAGAATGGGGTTGCGTAACTTCATTCTCGACAGCATTGAAGTTTTTTGTTGTCCGGATATCGCAGTTCAGTTAATCTGTTTTCAATTGACATTCAATAAAGTTGCATCCAAGTTCAGTTTGTCAAAGGAAACAGATGAAACTGTTGTCCAGATTTGTTGACACATATCCACCTCGTTCATTCGTTCGTCATCCTCATCAAAAGTCATTATTTTCCATTCACAATTGGATCCATGCACTCGATTTCGTTCTTCATTACATTGGAAAAAACTCAACATTAATAATTCACCCTTGGGCAGTGTTAAACTAGAACAACCAATTTTTGTCCATTCCTCATCGTCCCCTTCCAGAGCCATCGAATTCCAACGTCCGTTTGATAGTGATTCCGTATCGTTTTCACAAACCCCGATTCACTTGTTACTTTCTCAATACTTTTTGGCCACCTATTTGTGGTAAGTAATCTGCGCGTGTGTTGTTTCGTTTTTGTTTTGAATCGCATCAAAGGTAACTGAATCCTGTCCAAACTCTTCCGATTAGCCTCCTTTGCATGACCGTAATATCAAACACGCTAAACGGTTTGTTTCATTCTGACCCATGGTATTTTTATCCTGGGTGGTCATCGATCTTGTTGTTCACATTTGATCATTCATCTAGCGAACTGACGGGAAAATATGAAGGACTAACAGAACGCACCGAAGAAAAAGTTGCCGAGTATAGAAATAAACATTGGATTTGCAATCATGAAATGATCGCGACCCTCAGAGACCACCCATTGTCTCCAATCGGCGATTAGGTCGATACTACGAGTTTCACCCGGGAAGTCTGATGCAGCCGTTGGGACGAAACCCATTGAGAAAGGTTCTCGTACAATCAGACCAGGACATACGATCTTATCACGCTTGACTTTCATTCATCCACCGAATGTCCGGGCAGTCGTCTCATTCCAAGAAATCTTATCAATAGACAGGCACATCGCATGTCCCAATCTCCTGGATTCATCGAAGTCAAGCACATTTGTTAGTACACAACCGACTCATGCAATAATCTTGAACCAGAATCTCGATTGGAGAGAACTGATAAAAGGTGATAATACAATGCAATTAGTAAATCTAAACGTTGGCGCGATACCTGTACCGTGACTTGTTTGGTGTGCAGTATGAATCCAGATGTGTATACACCCGCGACAAAAGTATTGCAGTCCCCTAGATATTTTGGATTATCTCCGCTCCTGCGTGCACGATTATTACCATTCTTGGAATTCTCGACGACAACCAAATGAAAAGCCGAAATGCCCGATTACATCAGACTTTCTTTAATTTGAACGAAAATGTCGCAAAAACCGAATTCTCACAGCAACAAAAGTTTTGAGGCCTCCGCCGCCATGGACTGCACCCATCGAAGCCACTTTAATACTCTGTATCAAATTTCGAATCGTGTCCCTGTCGATATTATTCTAATCCCTAATCCACAATGTCTAATTCATGTTTGATGGTGTAAACTCTGAAGTGTCACTTCAATGTACGAAAAGATACACCAGGATCGTGTACTCCGCGTACTGTAGCGAATTCAGTTGGGTCGTTGCCTGATAAGGAACCTCATATCAGCACGGAGTTGCGATCACTTCTCCGTTTGCTGAAGTGCCACTGTTTTCGCAGGTCAGAACAGTAGTAGTTCCACCTGTCTGATCCATCTAAATTTAATTTATTTTCATCGCTAATGTAGACGAAATTGCGTTCATTTTTCCGAGTTACACTAGTTTCATTTCACAATAAAAATTTTTCTTGTCCTAAAGTTGCTGAAGCTATGCATCTTTTCAATTTCTTGTATTCCCCATTAGCTGAAGCACCGTTTACATTTCGGATGCATGACTCATAGAGTTTGAGACCATACGTAGTAATTTGTCCTTGCCTTTCCTCGATAGCTTTGTCTGGAGTCTAATCTGTTCATGGTTAATTTTTAACTGTCTCCGCTTCAAATATCGTGCCACAGCATGATCGAGACACACTCTGGTTATCTTATGTGTGCTGACATTAATCTCACGAAAGGCATCATTTCCGGATTTCTCGTTATCAGCAAACCTCTTCTGTCTTGCCAAGTTTGTCAATGGCTTGTAGTAACCTACTTGGATGTCGTTGTTTCCCGATTATTGAGAATAACGTGAGCATAGTCGTAGCTTACACGCTGTCAGCTACCATGCCCAAGTAGAAACTCTGGATTTTGGTTGCACCCGTTTTTGAAACCCAATTCGATGTATGAAGTCCTTGGGGGTGCAATACTTTTGTCTCGGTGAAAATTCGGTTTTTTCGACATATTTTCGCTAAGGTTGAAGATAATTCTATGAAATTTCGTATTTCGGCTTTTCATTCGGTTGCTTTCTAAATTCTCAAAAAGGATGACCATCCCGTAGGTAGGAGTAGAGATAACGCTTCTGTCGCAGGTGTATTTGATGCTCTATTTTCATATATGTTTCCTCGTATTTTCTGACTAGATTTAAAACCAGATGTCAAGTAATAAACGTGCTGATACGACGCTTTGCCAGCGTTTTCAAGCTCAGTTCTATTTACTGTATACCTGCTTTCATTTTGATATGCACTTCGCCCGTCAAGTGGCTCTCCGGATTGGTCCGTAGCAGATCAGTTAATCCCCAAAACGACTGAATTCGACCCTGTTCTGTCTACTAGTGTTGCAGAAGCTCTGGCAAAAGGAATTATATTTTTGCACGATCCAAATCGAACAGTCGAATACGACTTGGCCCGTCGTTGTGAGTTTTTATTCTCAACCAGCCTCTCCGGTTAAACCCCTTCAGTTTCCTGTGTTTTCACACTTAGTGTTGTTTGGTTGCATACATGTGCTGCTGCTGCTGTACTTGACAGTGGAAAATCGCTTTCCTAATTGATCACTCTGAATGTTCTCTTCTGATTATCCGCGCTTAACAAATGAGATGGTTACCAGCCAGGGAAATGCTACTAACTGCACAACACGCACCGATGTGTGTATGTAAATAGAATTGATGTTTCTTGGCTATCGGTAAGCTACTTTGATCTAGAGTATGCAGACGACATTGGGCTGCTAAGTGAAAATCCAGGTGAATTGCAAGCTTCTCTGAATAGCTTGAGTACCAGCGTAGCCTTGTTCGGTATGCGTTTTGGAGCTTCAC